TCGAAGGTGACAGCACAGTGGCTTACAACCAGTTTTGGCCTATACAGTACTGTTTACAGCACAAATGCATACCAGCATGGGTTGCATTACTCCGAGATGCAGGCTAATGTGGGCCCATGTCATTACAGCCAGCGACAAGCCGCACTTCAAAGACACACTTTGAATACCATGTATGCCCTTGGAATTGACATGTCCTATTCTTTATATTCACAGTACTTTATATATACACGGTATATTATCATATATGTTATATTATATGCATATATCCGCGATATTATATGTTTACCTAAGATTATCCTTCTTGTCCACGCTGATGTGGGGGGTGAACTTCATGGATACCGTTTTTCCGGGGGTTGTCTGTTTTGTTTTTACTCCACTTATCCATGAGAAAAAAATTCAGGTGAACGGGGGATAATAGGATGAATTTTCTGGCTGAACTCTTCTTACCTGTGAAAAGAATGCACGTGAATGTTGAAATGTACGCACAGAGCCAGGTTGGCTTGTACCGCGTAGGCAGAGCATGAACTAATGCGTCAATTAATGCTTCGATGCTTGGATAAATAAACGCATAAATAAACTAATGCACACACGAATAAATGGTTGATTGCATAATAAGATGTGTGGATGAAGGAATGAATGCATAAATTGTTGAACACATTAATGAATGTGTGAAGGAATTAATACATTAACGGATGTGTTCATGAATGAATGAATGCATGAGCAAATGCATGAATGGGTGAGCGAATTAATGAATGAGCACCAGGCTGTGTCAGGGCGCGTGAGTGGAGGGCCGCGGGTCCCCCTGAGTCGCCTGATCCCACTTCCGTTCGTTTTCAGTGTTTGCAAATGGTAAATAACCTGCAGATATTCGGAGGAATGTGTCACTCAATTCCTCTTATCCCTAAACATTTTTTCAGATATATATGGTTGTGTCGGATAATGGGATTCACGTGGGCGCGGACCATTTTAGTGCCGCGACTGATAGGAGTCGCAGGTTAGTAGGGCTGTGGATGAGTATACTCTACGCTAGATATAGTGTGGCCACATACCGCGTCTGTTAAATGGAAATATTTATTGTACTCACTCTACTGTTTTATATTTATGGATTTGTCTACAATAGCAGCAACACAATCTATTTTGTTTCAATGCAAATTGATTTTTTTTTTATTTCAGGGTCGTACCAGCAATACATATTTTATAAGTGTGATTTGTTTTCAGCATTTATAATGGTAAAATAGATTATACATTATTTCTCCCATCTCCCTCACAAATTAAAGCAACATTAAAAACGTGTTACGCTCAGACTTCAATTTGATTGTAAATATTTTTCCCCAGATGGGTGGCAGAGATTTTGTCACGGCATCTTAGAGATTGAACCACGTGATGCATGTCAAGTGCGTGTGATTTTAGGGTTTCACCAATTAAATTGTGCACACCGTGGACGTGTGATGTTGGTCGATTAAAAAAAAGCCGTTTTGATTTATTTTACGCTGTACAGTGGGGTTTAGTCTTCTTTGGTTCTTTCGGTAAAGTCACGTAGAATGAGAATAAAATAATAAATTGATAAAATAAAATAACACAATAATATTCTCACGACGTTTCGGCCACAACACAAGCGGCCTTCATCAGGTGAAGGGACGAGACTGTCTGGTAGGACAGCGCTGGAGTGAAAGAGCCACGTTCAGATCACGACCTTTAAGCTGTGTGAGAGGAAACAAAGCGCCTTGACAAAGGAATTAGCATATAATTTAGCATTGAAATGGCTGAGTGATTAGCTTGTGACTGGTCACAGAAATAGCTATGTTAAAAGTTAAAGCACACACATCCGCAGAGGCACCCGGTACATAATTTAACACCGTATGTTTGTCTTGTAAAATTTGACACTGCAAATTTAACAGCAAAGGTGGCAGTGGCAATGAGGCAGCTCAAAATATTCACCTAAATGTCGAACGTGGTAGTGGGACGGAACGTCAATACAGCAGCAACTTTGCCTTTCCGCAGTTGGTGTAATACCAAAATTAATTTTGAGTCTCTCATGCTAGCGCTCTATTCCGTTGACTTCCTCAGGTATACTTCAACATGATGGCCCCAGGGTTTGGAATGCTATCGCCAATAAACTGCAACTTGGATCACTACCTGTGAGATCTTCACTCAAAACTGCTCTGAGGGAGTTGTACACCGCTAGCTGCCACTGCTATTCAGAATGGCCTGAAATAAAATGTATCGTTCTGGATGACCACTGCAAAGTATGATCTTGAGTTTTGATTATAGTGTGCTGATCTTTAAAGGTGTGTTGAAAATTTTTGATACTGCTACTTATAATCCTGCTGTTATGGAGTGACTCATGCAGCGAGCTATGGCTGCAAAGTTTGGTCATACATGTAATGTTTATCGTTTATTGTTAAATTTGAATCACAGTTCCTATGATCACTGTTACATTGTTTTTATAGCTTTATTTTGATTACTTTGAAAACGTTTTGGTTTAGCCATGTTTGTTTGTTGTAGTACAGAGTTAGCCTGATAACTTTTATCTAAATTCTTATGGTTGTTATTGTTTGACTTGCATCCCATTGGGATTTTTGCACACAGCGTTGAAATAAGGTGTTTTTTCTGGAAGACTTTGCTGTTTTTTCCTGGATTTTCTGTTGCGTGTAGACACTTTGAGAATTTTCTTGTTAATTTTTGTATGTTTTGTTGCGTTTGCACCCGAGTCAAGAGCCGCATGGCTCACAGGGTTATACCTAATACATGAAACTGAACAGCGGAAAAAAAAATGTCTTCCTTCTCCCGGCCTATTCGATGAGTTGTCACAATTTAAAGCTTCACATTTGGATTCATGAATTTAATTAATGTTAACGTTGTGGTGAATGGTAACACCTATAGTGGCTGCCGTACATGAAGGGCCGGATCAAGGCGTGAGGGCTTCAGGGGCTGCAACCCAAGGCCCTCCTCCGCCAGCTGGAGGGCCTCCAGAGATGAAGCGAAAAGTTTTTTTGGTTTTGTGAAAGCTGAATTGTATTTGTTGTTAGCCTTGTAAAACTATTTTTTTGGAAAATATTACTGGGGGCCTCACAGTGCCTGTAACCCAGGGGCCTACAAAATCATAATCCGGCCCTGCGTACACAAATGGCAAATAGCATATCGCCTCCGTGATCTGTCCGTTGGTGGATGAATGCCTCCGTAAGCCGTCTCTCAGTCTTGTGATGCAACGATCCACCCAGTACCTGCACATGAGCTGATTACATTGCTCCATATCCGTAGTGGACTTGCTCTCTGTCGTGTGTCCCTCTTTTAGCTGTCACTTCGTTGTTAGTCTTCATCAGCTGCCATCTGTTCCAGTGACACTTGCTGCCCAGGCCCACGTGCTTGTCTTAAGAGTCGATATGACGTTTTGAACTTGTGTGAATGTGCCCAAAGACTCATCATCATCGTCACAATCATCGGTGTTCAGTGCACACGTTTCATCATTTTTGTTTCCACTTTCCTCTCCGTCTTGTGCCAATATGCTCAAGTAGTGCCACATCTTTCTGACACCAATCTCTGACATCGTCAACAATGCGTGAGGATAATGAAGACAGTTTAAATTCGTCTGCGCTACCTGCTCTGACATGGCCCAGAAACATGGACACGAGCATCCAGGAATTGCACTGAAAGACAGAAAGAGCAACACATGGATGAGGGAACATGGACAACAGAGCGCACATCGAAAAACATTGGTTCTTCTTACGCAGCAGCTTTGATGCCGTGCACGTGAGCTTAAGAATCGATATTAATGAATAAATGCGTTGTTCCACTCCTATACTTTCATTGCTGGATCGTCCCCGTCATCAAAGCGTGTATGTGTCTCTTTGATGGCGCATTGCACCCCTGCACTTTACATGGGCCTCGTATGGAGAGCATTGGGGGTAATTTTTATACTGTGTACCTTGGGCTCTTTTTAGGTTGGCTTCTGGCGAACATGAAACAATCTCCCTCTTTGATTGTCCTTTGTGTTAGGGTACCTCAGGTTTTATGTGCTCCTGGAGCTGTCTTCTGCATCCTAATCTTCCTTTCCAGACCACTTCAAAGGGTGTAATCAATGCCAGCGGTTCTTTGTTTCCATGTTAAACGTCGGAAAGAAACTCACTTCAAAATTTGGACCACCGTTAGTTTTGTTCAAATGTGCTGTTAAAAATAGCATTCAAATCTTTAAGATCATCAAGACTACTTGCAAGTGTGTGTGCATACCTCTCTGTGGGTTCATAAAAAGTACTTTAAGTGAGTTGTGCAATAAAAAGGCAATTATCTCATCAAACCAACATGGTTGAGTGCTTAGTTGCCCATTCATTGTCCAGCAATAACACGTGGTTGACCTAACTCAGGGGCTGATCCTTCTTTAATTTCAGGTCTACAAATCATATATAAAAGTTAAAAGTGCAGCCCTGCAATTGCTATTTCATGCCACTGCTAGTGGAAGGGCTTCCACTAAAGGGAGCTCTAGAGGGTCACTCTGCAGGGTGTTTGGCCTACTCTTCCACACTGGTCAGATATCTTGGAAGAGGTGGGGGCACCCAAACTTTACCCCACCATACATGATCTGCAGATCGACTGACAGTGGTTGCACCTATTTATACTGCTGGGCGCATAGAGGCAGGGAGGGGTGTGGGGGTTAAGAAACTTGCACCTTTGTCTCAACCATCGCACCGGGAGATTGAATCTCTGGATTGCAAGTCCGCCGCACCTCGGCAGCATCCTCGCATTCATATTACAGGGAGGTATGTAATTTCTCTTGCAGCTGGTGACTTGTCAAGCAAGGCTGTGTGCGGGATACGTTGTCATTTTGTCATGCACAGCATGCTTGGATTCCCGTTATGTGCTCCTGTTGACACCTTGTTTTGTGTGTTTATTGTCATTTGTTTCTGAGCCGCACGCATTCGTACGGCTGCCGCAATGTCTCGTCAGCTGGAGAGGTCACCGCTTGAATTTGTCTGCTTGTTGTTGTTGTTGTTGTCTCTGTTAAGGACTCCAACACGCTGGTCCCTGTGACGTTGGCGGTGGATGACAATGGACACTTTCTCTACTGGACAGATATGACCAAGGTAGGGCTGTGCACATGTAACCTGCTGACACGCTTAGCTCCAGCCACTGGAGCTGTGCACTTTTAAATATAGATTGAAAACGAATTTATTTAATCTTGATTTGAAGCTTTCGTGACTGCAGGAATCCATGTTCTTTGGTGTATTGGCTAAAGTAACGTAGGTAGAAAATAAAGTAAATCACGACGTTTCGGGCACAACACAAGCGTCCATCATCAGGTGTGTTGTGCCCGAAACGTCGTGATTTATTTTAATTTTTTACCTACGTGACTTTACCGAAAGTACCACTAGAGTACTAATTTATTAAGATTGTTGTCCTTCACCCACACCCCAGATTAGCATGATTGGCAACATATGGTGCGGAAGAAGTTCAACAAACATTCTGACGTGCCACAGGCGGTTTCCTTCCCGTGCCCCATATTCTTTGCTTCAGGTCCAACAATTTTAATTCATACAGAATTTGGATGTATATAGCATCTCTATATCCATAATAGAGGCTTATTGGTTAGATCGCGTAAATATAAATGTTGTGTTGTTAAACCCGCCACTACCCGATACAGCCAATTAGTAAGGTTTGTCACGTAAACAGAACATGCCAGTTTGTTACGGTGTGTTGGAGAGTAAACCCACAACATATACAATTTGAGTACGACATTTTGCCGATTAATTACAACCAGCATCATCAGCCGACAGCCAGATTAATGTTAAACTGAACATCTCTATATATACTGCATGGATTCTCATAAATATGACTGCATCACTAAATTAATTCATTGATTTAAATCTCAAATTCTGAACACTGCATGCCACTGAGATTTCACTGCAGTTCAAAACGAAAGTTCTCGATTTGTCAGTGTGAGTGGAAGCTAGGCGATGAAAGACCATGCAGGAGCTGCTATTCCCATCCATAGACTCTAAAAGGAAATGCGACTTATAGCATGAGAATGGAATAGCCCCGATGATTGTAGTATAGGACTACAGAGCTTGGGAAATTGTTGGCGTCGGTTCTGGCTGCCTTTCCACCTGTCTGTGGTTGTCTGCACAATCAGTCTCTCTGTCGCTCTGAGAGTGAATTAAAACTGCACGTTGCAAATTCTAAATGAGTATCACCTGCTTTAAGCAATTAACTCAAAACGTGCATCACTAAAACAAAAATATGCCTTCCAAGTAAAATGATAAAATAGGTGATATTTTGGGAAATGGCTCTTCTTCATTACAATGGCTCTTCTTGCGTTAAGGAGAAAGGCCATTGCCTAAAAATGTACATTTCCTTTAAGTGTTATTGACGAATGCGTTGAATTTGTTCATGTGTTATGCTGGTGCATCAATGCCAATGCAGTATCGCCAAAAAACTTGCTTTAGGCAACGCATTCTATATTGTTGTTGATTATAATACATGTATGTGATTGGTTGGGCCATGTTAGACATGTTGTGTCACAGGCACAGCACCCACGTGCAAAGTGATAAACACTGTGGTATTTCTCAGACTGTGCAGCAATGCTGAACGCCGATAATGCTGTTCGAGGTTTTGAATGTTGCACATGTATAGAGAGCATCCTTGCCTATGCACAAGTCCATGAGGGATAATAACGGCCTTGGGAGGCCATCATCCAGCAGTGGATATATCATAGATGATGATAGTGATGATGGTGAGACACCAACATAGCTATTCCTATACAATTCGGGGTTTGTGCATTTTGAATAGTGGATGAAAAACATCATAAGTGGGCTGTGAAGTAGCCATAAGTTGGAGTTTAATGATGGATTTTTGAATCTATCCACGTGGAGCTTTAAATAATTATAAGCATGGTTGTGGAGAATATATCTAACAAAATAATAATCAGACAATGTCTCCTTCACATATGCGTCTCCCCACATAAAAACTCAAAGTATTTCTTATATAATCCTACAGGCACACAGCCTTCTGGGAATGCATAATTTCAATACCATTGAATTTAAGATAAGCAAACTCTGGACAAAATTCAACATACTGTATGTCAGCGAGAAACTCTATGTATGTGCGGCTGATGGGCCATGTAAGATATGCTTTTAGTTTTTATGTGGCCAGACAGATATGTTTGAGGAAACATTGTCTGCTTATTTATTTTGTTATGTGGAGCTTTGAATGTTATCGTTTCATTGGATTTTCTCCAGGTCCTCTGATTCCTTCCCATGTGCCACACACTCACTACAGTATTTGTCTTCTCACGACATCCTAATGCTGGACTGTCCTGACACCCACTATGGCTTTCCTGGCTCAGTTTCGGGCATGCTCATGATTACAGTCTTGCAATATTACTACGTACGTGTAAACCACACAGGGTGGCCTGCTCAGTTCACCACATCACAATTAGTTTCGCGTGAACATTTTTGAGTGTCCCCTCTTCATGGCTGTGACTTTTCCAGTTTATACCCAGAGGAAAAAATTACACCATGAGAAAATGGCCACACATCTAAAACCTGATCTTCTGACACTCAGCTTCAGCTTTTCCACGTAACTAAGGTACTATTTTTTATTAACTCTAACCAGTATCGTCAGCCATTACCCACGACTGTACCGCTAGACAATGGCCACCCCACATCGTTTCCATCCCTCACAGTCCTGCAGTTCCACATCTCATCTCGTCTCGCTCCTGCACACAAGCCGATCCCATCGCTCCATCTCCGCAGCGTTCGTCACTTGAGACGCGGGGTCTCCTCATGGCCGTCACCTCCATCGCAAATCGGGCCCATCGGCCATCATCCATTCCAGCGCAGACCGCATTACATATCTGAACCCCATTCCATCCTGGTCACATTCCCTGTACTCTGTGTTCATGCTCACCGAGCGAATAAAAAAGAAAAACGCAACCGCAAATGCAGTTACGTCGACCCTGTGGGGCACCCTTGCAGTTGCAGACGAACGCCGGTAATGAGCTTGCGTGGAAACATTAGGAGTGTGTTGGGGTCAGACGCGAGGGTTGAGGGAGGTGTGGGAGTGCTGGTTGAGAAGGGGAGACATATACATGTTGCTTCGGTGTGAATTGGCGCGACACCAATTAGTACGGCGGTTCACCTTTTACACCTTAAACGAACGCCGATTGTATATACACGACACCCACTGTATAAGATGTAGGCACAATCCGCAGATTAAAATAACTAATATCATACATACGCACACACTCAACGTATATTTGTTTGCCCGATTCCACAGTCACGGGCTTATAAGACGAATGCAACAGGTACAGTGCTGTTGTATATACGTCACAATGACTATTTACAGCCCTTTGGCCACTGCTGGATAAATGCCTCCCCATGCCATGCCAATAAGTAAGCATTGTGTTGACCATACTTAACAGAGCTGTTTACTGCAGGTTGGTAAAGGAAGGAGAGCACAGGACCACAGTTTTGTAATTTCTCACCACTGATGTCTGCCATGGCTGGTAATCATCAGACTCCGATCGTCAGGCTCGCAGTGCGGTGCGGTAATATCACTTTGCCACTGCTCGACCCAAATAATAATCGCCGCTTCAAATAACACAACAGACCAACCACTGCACCACCGTGCATTCTTTAATTACATTTTAAGTATTTTGACCCTCTTGAGATGAACCTTCTTGGCCAAAACGTTACCAATTTTCGATTCCCTTTCAGGCAAGCTGTTTGTTTTCCGTTTGAGTCACATGATATCACTCAATGTGCATTTTTCTGAAGCACCATTGATGTACCGTGCTCTGTTGGAAGTGACTTATCATGTATAGATTTATAGCAGCCAAATACTCTAAAATCACATTTCTAAATGTGGAGGGAAAAACTGCAGGACCCGGAGAAAAATCCACGTGACCACGGGGAGAACATGCAATCTCAAAATATACAACAGGCGTCAGGGTAGGGATGGAACCCACGACCTCCTGTATATCAGGCGAGGTAGTTAACATTTCTCCACACGCTGGCCAGTCAACTTGGAAGAGGTTGTAGCTACCCACGCTTTACACCACCACATGCGGCACTGCCGATTGACTCACGATGGGGAACCCATTTATACTGCTGGGTGGACAGAAGTGTTTGGGGTGGGATTTAGGAAACTTGCACCATTGTTTCACCTGCCATGCCGGGAGATTGAATCGAACTGGCAACATCTCGGTGACAAGTCCGGTGTGCTCACCATCACAACATCATGGCAGCATCTCCAGCATTAGTATAATATAGCAGTTGGCCAAACATTACATTTCTTGGGAGGAAAAGCATATATATTTAATGATCCAAGTGCATGTATTTTTTTCTCTTTTCTGCAAATGGGGTGTAATATAGCCAGCTTTCTTCATGCCAGGAAAGATGAGTATTGGCCGAATGCATAATGACACCATTTGGTTTCCATGGTGATGTGCATGGCTATATTCTCGATTTTAAATTGTAGGAAAGGTCAAACATTTCAGAGTTATGTTTAATTTTGAACTACAGTATATATATGACATATTTTGTGCCTGACAATTATTCACATGTGCTTTTGCCAATGTGCCGTAGTCAAAGTACAGTAATGGACTCTGAGGGTCTTGAATATCATAGTTCTTAACTCATGTGGGAATGTAATACTGTATTTTTGTTTTCACTCGTATGTATCATAATTTCCAACGATTTTCGCCTTCTGAAGTATGTTTAGCTATGCTCAGCATGTTCAAAACATTTGCTGTGTTTTACCATAAAAACGGAGTCATATATCATTTCCAAAGCAGGTCAATTAGATATTTGTCACGCCTTCACTCTGCTACTGTATGTATACATCAACATTATGATAGGACACAAAGTAAATATTATCAAATCTTATATTTTGAAGGATTACGTAACTCGAATGTGTAATTTGTTTCTGAATCTGCAAAATGTACGTTTGTATACATGTTGTGAATTGAAAGTTACTTACTCTTTGGTTCTTTCGGTAAAGTCACGTAGATGAAAAATAAAAATAATAATAATGAAAATAATAAAATGAAAATAACCAAATTAAATCACGACGTTTCGGGCACAAC